TAAATCCTAATTGCAAAGTTTTTCTTTAAATAATTTTTAAAATCAAACTTCTAATTTTTAGCACATTCATCATGTTAATTGTATTGGTAATTGGTAGGGATTTTATTAGTTAGGGATTGGGAATTATTTATTTGTTCTACCCACACTTGCAGAAAGAATATAAATAAATAAAAATAAACTTACAGCAGTGATAGACATGATAAATAAAGTAAAGCTAAACTCGGGGATATAGCTATTTTTACTTAAGCTAATGCAAAAGTTTATTCGATGGCTGTTTTTAGCAAATTTAATTAAATTTTGAAAGGTCCAGAGTCCAAAGCGCGTCCTCGTATCAAAATTTGCCTTTAGATCTAGACCTTTTCAGAAATTAAGTTGCTGCAGAAAATTAATTTTTTCTGCATGAATTAAGCAAAAAACCGACTCCTGCATTCTGCAGGAATTAAAGAGATTAATTTATTTTATTGTTGGTTCGCATTCTCTGAAGATTAGATAAATTTAAAAATTTGTTTGTCTAAATGATCAATTAAGAGAATTAATTTATTTATCAGAAATTAATTAATTCAATGTTTCAGGGTACATAATAGTGAACAATGTCCGTCATGTCGCGCTCCACTTCCACGTTTACCAAAACTGAATTATGCTAATACTCAGAACCACCATATAGCATCTTCAAGTTCTTCTCATCATCATCCAAACTATTGTGCAGGGTGTTTCAGCTAAGAAGCACTATTTTAAAAATTAATAACTTTTTACTATGTTGACAGATTTTAATGATATTTTTTATTTATGAGAATTTTTTGACAGAAAAATTATGTCATAAAATATACCTATATGCTAAATACCTAATATCATTAAAATCTGTCAACCTAGTAAAAAGTATTAATTTTTCAAATAATGCTTCTTAACTGAAAAACCCTGTACATATTTTTAAATAAATGTTAGTAATAGTTGCGATGAGCCGTAATTTTTGATAAAAATAATTGCTTGATTACTGTTGTCCAAGATATGCATGAAAAATCGACAGATATGCACGTATCTATGCACATAAAAAGCCCAAAATATACCAAAATTTCTCAAAATGTGCAATAGATATGCAGCAAAAATACGAAATGTGCTTTAAAAACAAATATTTTAAGTATTCTATAGAAATAAGAACCCGCATTTGTGTTTAGACTCGAAATAGTCATGATCACGACTTCACCCCAAGTCATAGACCGGCAAACCCCAACAAAAGAACTGAGTCAAGACTCAAGACCAAAGTCTCTGAAGTCTCTACAAAATATGCATATACGCATGTTTTGCTTTGTTTTTAAGTGATAACCTGCAACAACAATTAATTAACAAATTATTTTTCGATTAAAAAAACTTATTTTATTTAGAATTAAACAAAGAATGATCAAAGGAAGAGGTCAAAATGAAATGATTTTTTAAAAATATTTTTGTCCAATTTTAGGGACTTGGGCTAACTTTATTATTTGGGATTATTTTTGAGTAATTTATTTTATTTTTAAAAAATTTCTGAAAGTTATTTTTAATCCAAACAAACAAAAAATATATCAAATTCCTACAAAAAATTTATTTAAAGACCGGTCAATGTTATATAATTAGAGATTGTATCCTGGAAATTTGTAATTTTAGAATTTTAATTTAGAGATAATGTATCTAAAAATTATTTTCAAAATCCGAAGGACTTTGTTTTTACATTTTTTATAGTCCAATCTCTAATTCCTTAAAGAATTTTTTATTTATATTATGTAAAAATATAAAGTTAATTCTCGTTATTTGACAAATTAGGGGTTTTTTCTATTTAGTTAATCACGACAAAAGCTCGGAAAAATATCAAAAATTTGTCGCGAGAAATCAAAAATTAAATTTTAGTTTATTTTGGGTCTTTAAAATTTTCAGTTTTGAAGTCTATAAATATTTTGCCAAAAAATTTTTATTTTTAAAAAGTATTAACAAGAATGAGAGAAAAGTTGACAGACTAAATAAAAATTTGTTTGAAAAATAATTTGGAACTTGAAAGAATTTTTGGAATAATTTTAGGAGTATAACAGGATATCATTTTAGAATAACGAGAATTAACAATTGTATATATTTTTTATAGGGGGAAAACATAAAACCACAAGTTTTAAAATAGTTTATTTTAAATGTTTTATTTTAAAATTTTTTTATCTAAATTGTTTATTTAAAAATATTTTTTTTATTCGTAAAATTGTTTTAATTTAAAACTTTTTTTTATAAATTTTACCATCTGTCTAAAAAATTAGAAAATATATTATTTTTATTTAATTATTTGGAAATTTTATTTAAAAATTGGGTACTGTATAATATCCTAATTTTATAGGGTTAAATTAGTGATATTTTATGGAAGATTTTGTTTAATCTCCTTAAGTTGGACAACTCAAATTACAGATTTCCAACAAAATTTTATTCAGCTTAAAAGAATTTATATAAATTTGATGATTAACTTTTCGATAAAAAAATACAGTGGCGGAAATTTACTTAAGACCGATTGACTTTTTTATATGAATGAATAAAGTTGATGATTAAAAAAAGAGGTTGATAGAAAATTAAGGTCTTATTTTTAAGAAAACTGCAGCTGACTAAAAATACAATATTTTCCTTTAATTGAGAAGGGTTAAAGCAGGTGCGGCATTTAAAAATATAAAAAATTAATTTCGCGGTTTTTTTATAAAAACGCGACAATTGGGAACGGGAAACAAAAAACAATATTAAATGTATTCATAAAAGCCTTTAATAACGTTGCTTGTCAATTCTTCCAAATTTAATGGAATTCAGAGTCACGGGGTTACCAAATTGAAAATGAATCGAAGACAAGGCAATGAGCGGTCGAGGAACAGGTTGATGGGCACGGGATTCATCCACAGTGTAAAGCATATAGCTATTAATTTCCTAAGGCTGAGCAGTAGGCGGTGTGGTGTAATGACTAACACATCAGTCCGGTCTATTGAAGATACTGGTTCGCTCCCAGCCGCCGAATAACCTTTTGCACTAGCTAAAGGAGAGAAATAGCTATAGCCCTGCTGCTTTACTGGTAGCACCGGATGGTTCAGCGAACGCTGAACGAATGACGATCCATCCCATAGGCCCTGGGTTAGAGATAGGAAATTCCGCCAGAGAAGGCGATGATTTAGTTTACCCCGCAGGTGAGAGAAAAAGCGGTAAGAGGGCAGATAAGAAGACTAGGGACAGTCTTCCCTGGGGATGGAGGTGTAAAGCATATAGCTATTAATTTCCTAAGGCTGAGCAGTCTACCACTTCTTCATTAACAGGTGGGACTTTATCTGTGTGTTTATTTTCAGACGACAATTTTATTTGGCTTTTGTCCTTTTGTATATCATGAGTTAAATTAGTTGGTTGAATTAACCGTCTATCATGACAGGGCCCGTACTATAAGAACTTGGTTAAATGACCAGGTTAGCGGCAGCGCCGGGTTGACCCTATGCCGCGGGTTTGGCGTCGCCGTTTTTCCTCATTTCTCCCTATTTAGGAAAAAAACATAACTTTTTTTATAATGGAGGTAAAAATAAAATTTTTTTGCCAAAATATAGATTGGAGTGTTATCTATGATTTGCCAAAAAATCAAAAATTTTGACCGACTTATTTGAAAGTTATTAATTTTCTAGCAAGGTACTACTTTTCCACTAAAAATGACTAGAAAATGGGGTACTTTTTGTTAAAAATTCCAATAAATTGATTTTTAAAGGGAAAATTCCAAAAATTATATCAAAAAATAGAGGACACTTCAAACTATCTAAAAATATTTAATTTAGAATTTTTCCTCTAATTTTAAATTTTTCATGATTTTTTAAAAAATTGCTTACCCTGCTCTATAGCAGGGTAAAAGGTTTAACCAGCAACTCTACCGTACCCCTTTTCCTCTTTCTTTTCTTCCTTATTTTTTCGGCGCAAGCATTTCTCCCTTCTTTGTGATTTATGGGGGAAATTTGGCGTAGGTAGAGGTTAAATGACCAACCTACCACGTTCTTATAGTACGGGCCCAGGTGGGGGGAAGAAGGCAAATTAGAATTACTTTCATCGGAATTTTTCCTTTCCTTTGTATGCATTTCTAATGGAAATAGTGAATGAATAGATCGGGTGGTTATATGGCCAGAATGAGAAAGTTTAATAGTGGCCGTGTCAGGTACATTGTTACTGTTATTGTGAATTTTTATTGCGGTAGGCTAGAGGAACGAGGTAATGACTCATTTTCAACACTAACTACATAATTCATTAAATTCTGGGATATTCGGTGAGAAAGGGGGAATTTTCTTGTGTTGCTCTGCAGAAAGAGTAAATATTCGGAATGCCACTTCTCCCAGAATTTCTTTGCTGTGGATGAAATTGTTGACCAGAGTGATTGAATGTTGTCTAATGTATTGTTGTTATTTTTACCTGGTAGTATGTCGTCGGAAAAGGAAAAAGGAAGATTTATATTATGGCAGAGGCCTGAAAAAGTCAATAGGGGGAGGGGACGGCATTCAGCAGGGTTTACCGAATCGAATGTAATGGGCCGGCTGTAAATAATTAGCTCGATTTCGGATAGAACTGTTCGGGTAAATTCTACATTAAATGTTTTCGGGAAGGTGCCGGAGGATAAAGTTCGTTTAAAATGAAATTTTACATGAGAAACGAGTCTTTCGTATAAGCCATATTTCAAATCTGTTATTTTTTAATATCTTTAACGGGATATTGTCTCTTATTAAAAACTTTTTAGGTGTTTTGCAACCTAAAATAGGTGGCAGCCCTTTTAAAATATTTTTATTTTTTGTTAACCATATTGAATATTATTTTAAGAATACAAAATTTTATGAAAAATTATTATTAATTTTTGACAAAAAACCGTAAAAAGATTTTTAATTTAATTATTTCATTCTATTATTTTGTTTTATGACTGAATTTTTTCCGATTTCCGAAATTTTGGGAAAATTTTGGAAAAAGCATATTTCCGACTAGAAATTTTTACTAAATTTTTAAAATTTTTGCTTATGCGCAAAAATTGGCAAAATCAGCTGAAATGGAAGCAATGCTGAAAATGGAAGAAATCAAAGCTTTCGATCCTATTAATCATATTAAATTCCCTTATATAATCATCCTAAATTCCCTTATATCCTTTTTAACACTCAAATCCCAAAATATCTCTTTTATTCCCTTCAAATTTTCTTCCTACTCAAATCCAATAATCCAAATCCCTCAAATCTTTCGATCCTCCCAACCACTCTGATATCCTCTTTAATTCCTTTATGTCCGCTTAATCCCTCGATGTCCTTTTTAACTCCCTCGATAATATCACAGGTTCTTGATTCGGATTGAACTTCCATTTTATGGACCATAATTTGCCATTATACAATAATATAGGTTCTTCCTTTCCGATCGACCTCTAATCAAGACTAACACCAAGATTGAAGCAACAATTTATTTTTCACAAAATAAACATTCTTTCCTGCAGAAAAATTGTAGAAACAAGTCCGGCATGCCCTCATATTATTTTAAATTAAAAACTTAATTTTTTTATATTCATTATAAAATTAAGCAAATCAATAATATGGATGATTTAAAAAATTTTCTAGTTTGTAGTTTGAAATTATTAAGCATTATATACACAAACATACGATCAATCCTCGTAAAAATTTTCACATTTTTGAATCACTTACTCTCTATCTCTCTCTCATTTGCCATTAACAAGAGAAAGGGTGATTCAGAAAAAATTTTACAAATAGGGTAATTGTATAAAAGTGAATAAATATAAAGGTTACTATTAATTTACAAACTACAAAAGCTCGAAATTTTGAGTTGAAAATAAAAAGTCGCAAGGGTTAAAAATTTTGCGGATTTAAAAAAAAAATTATTTTTTCTTTAATATAAAAATATAAAATGTTTCATTTTAACTTTTGTTAAAAAGATAAATCGGCGGAAAGCTTCAATTTTAGAAAAATTTCAAATCTTGCGGAAATTCTGAAATTTAGTAAAATTGGAATTTTCCGCCCACATACATATATTTAGTTATACGGTTCAAATTTTATTTTTGTTAAAGTTTATTTTTTTCTGCCGCTTTATTTAAATTTAACTATCCTGTAACAAATTAATATAGAAATTAATGATGGTAATATACTCGAGAGCCATTGAAAGTCTCGATATTTAATTTAATTTTTGACCCTCGTATTATGTACAAAATTTTACTTAAAATTTAATGTTTAATATGAATTTCCCGCCCATCTTCTTGTTTAAAATGAAAGTGCCTAATTGCTTGCCCATCATTCGCAATTTAAAATTTTACCTGCTTCCCCAAAAATTTAACTTTTCCAACTAAATCTTTTAATTTTTAAAAATTTAAAAATGTTTTTTTCAATTTTTCCTTTACTTTTAATTCAAACACTCTTTTATTTTGGAAAAACACAAAATGAGGAGGTTTTTGAAAAATGCTTCAAATATCTTTTGATTGATAAAAATGTCCAAACGCATATTTTTCCTCTTAAATACGGACATCACATCGCATTTCATCGCGGAATAAATGAAACAGCTATGAACGGTGTAGTTATCTATCGGAACAAAATTGAAGAAATTTTGGGAGAGGAACGTGCGTCGCAATTTTATAATTATAATCAGCATATATTTCGTCAAAACGATTATGGGTTTTATTGTAATGTTATTGACATTGTCGGAGTAGTTTTTGGCCATCGAAATGTGATGGTACCACAGAAATACTTTGATAAACTAAGTAAGTCACAGTCTAAACTGTGTTTTAATTTACAACTTTGGGACTAACTAAAAAATTATACGTATGTTGATGTTGTTAAAATGTTATGATCGGGATCTAGTGGGATTTTCCCGTTTTTTTCGAATTCCGATCTCGATATTTCTGATCCCGAACTCGAAATATATATCCCGATCCCGATTCGGGATCGGGACTACTGTTTTTTTACTACTTTTTCCCGGTTTCGGCCAATCCCGATCCTGTAACGGGATCCGGGACCAGTATCAATCCAAAATCAATCCCGGTTTTTCTCTAAATTCCGATACCGCTGAACTTTACATATAAAATAGGTTGTAACTAAAGTTAGCCGGGATCGAGATTTTGACAAAAAATCACGATCGGGATTTTGGAATAATGATTCTGACCCCGATTCGCTCACTTAGTTATCTTGTTTCGTTAATATTCTTACAATTTATAAAATCCCGAATAAATCTTGATCCGATCCTGATTCCGGCTCGGGATCGGGATCATTAAAAACCCGGATTGGATTTATCTTTCGATCTTAGGATCGGAAAAATCGGGAATGGGATTCAAAAAACAGGATAATTTCGCCAGATCCTGACCGGGATCCCGATCGCGGCAAACTCTAACTACATATATAATTCGTTTTTAGTTTAAAAACTTGTAAACATTTATTCAATTTTTGTAGATAATTGTTAATTAAACGCAAATTTCGTTATTAAATAATGTTTTTAGATGAGCAATCAAAATGTTTAACCGAATTTTTGTTCGAAAGATATGGAGAAGAAAATGTAGTCGGACATCAAGTTCTAAAAGAAGAACAAGAGACTTTCGAAGAATATATAGACCATTTAAACGAGATTGAATACGCTGATAAAGATTATGTCTATCGTTGGGAATTGAATTTAACCGGAGATGAGGAAAGAAACTTTCTTTTAAATGGTTTTGCATTTAATCAAAATGGTTCTGATAAACTCGAAGAATGCTTAAACATGGAAATTTTCGAGAACCAATGGTTTTTTAAATTTTTATACTCTAAATTTAAAGTTCAACAATATTTTTTGAATTTACTTACCGCGAAAAATTTTTTAAATAATTTTTAGCATTGCTTCAACATGTCATCATCATAATCCAAATGGACTTTTTAACGAATTTTATAAATTGTACAAACGTTTCCACCCAAAGCAACTATACTTCAACGATATCCCGATTTGTAATTAATAAATTACTCAAAATATTTAAATTTTGATTTAAGGGAAATATCAAAAATATGGAAATCGATATAGAAACACAAAAGTGTGTAGTATATGTCTTACACATTTCAGAAAAAACAATGATATACATGTAAATGCATGCGGGGTTTATTTAAAAATTAATTTTAAATAAATTTTTTAACTTAGCATATACATCATGTTAATTGTTTAGAAGTATTGTAAGTTTAAAATTAAAATTTAAAGTGTTATTACATTAAATGACTTTTAATTTTTTGGTATAAGAAAAATAGTATATAAATTTAGGGCGTTAAGTAAGTTCTTTCATATTGAAGGCTCTATATACCATTCAAAATCGTGATTTGTATCTCTGACATGGTTTAGCGTTTTTCGAAAAATTAAAAATTTTTGAGATATACTCGAATAAAGAAAATATAAAATCAAAGCGACCAAACAATTATATTTTTATTTAATTTAGTCACTAAGACAACTTTTTCTCATTTTTTCTCATTTTTATCAAAAATGCGTTTGAATAACTGAATTTAAAAATCATATCTCCGATTAAACACATGATTTTAAATTTGCTATTTTTATTCTAGTAAAAAGGTGTCATAATTTGCCTTTATCCTCGTTTTCTATCCTATTTATGTATATCCATAATTTATGAAATAATTTATAAAATTATTTTTCATATATGAAAGAGCCTATTAAGACCCTTATATTAATTTAGGTTGGGAAATAGCAACAAATGCCCTTTGTGTCGCAGTCCGATAATTCGTATTCCGAAACTCACTGTAACTCAAGGCAATATGGCATCTTCAAGTACCAATTAAAAACATCCAAAAATGCGGTAATTTAACTATTTATTAACTAGAATACTGTAGAAGTGTGGTACAATGGCACACATTCTATTTTTCAATGAACATAATTCTTTAACCTTAAGGTTCATTACTTAGGTGGTGTATGTTTAGAAAAGCAAAACAGAGTAGACTTCACCCCAAGACCGGCAAACCTCAAGAAAAGTCCTGAGTCAAGACTCAAAACCAAATGTCTCGTAAATATGTTTTGCTTCGTTTTTATGTGATAATTTGCAACCTCTATTAATTAACAATATATTTTTAAATTAAAAAAATTTATTTAGTGAGTAACATAAAATGATCAAATGAAAAAACAAAAGCGATGACTTGATTTTAAAAATTTTTGTCCAATTTTAGGGACTTGGGCTAACATTATATTTGGGATTATTTTTAAGTAATTTATTTTATTTTTAAGATTATTTAAAATTGTAGTAGTTTCTAATCCAAAAAACATCAGAACAAGGGTTGTTCACGATCAGTGATGCGGAAATTCCAAAATTTGGTCGATTTTGGCTCAGGAACCGCTTTTTTAATTTTGCCGGTTCCGGTTCCACTTCTGGACCGATTCGAACCCGATTCCGGACTTTTACCGGTTCCGGAATCGAAACTCCGCATCACTGTTCACGATCGATTTTTCATGATTTTAAAAAATAATTTTGTCCAATTTTATGGACTTGGTTAACTTTATTATTTGGGATTATTTTTGAGTAATATATTTTAAAAAATTTTTGAGTTTTTTTAATCTAAACAAACAAAAAATATATCCAATTTTTTCAAAAAATTTATTTAAAGATCGGACATTGTTATATAATTAGAGATTGTTTCCTGGGAATTTGTAATTTTAGAATTTTAATTTAGAGAAAATGTATCTAAAAATTATTTTTAGAATCTGAAGGACTTAGTTTAGATTTTTTATAGTCCAATCTCTAATTGCTTAACGAATCTTTTTATTTATACTATGTAAAAATATAAAGTTAATTCTCGTTATTTAGACAAATTAAGGGTTTTCAATTAAAGGTTAATAGGTATATTTTCTCTGGGTGTATTTACATAGTTAATTATGACAAAAGCTCGGGAAAATATTAAAAATTTGTCACGAAAAATCAAAAATTAAATTTGAGCTTATTTTGGATCTTTAAAAATTTTCGGATTGAAGACTAAAATATTTTGCCAAAAAAATTTTTATTTTTAAAATGTATAATATTAGCAAGAATGAGAGCAAATTGACGGACTATAAATTTGTTTGAAAAATAATTTAGAACTTAAATAATTTTTGGAATAATTTTAGGAGTATAGCAAGATATAATTTTTACATAACGAGAGTTAACAATTGTTTATACATATTTTTATAGGGGGAACAAAACAAAATACAAGTTAAAAATGGTTTATTTTAAATTTTTTTATCTATGGTTTATTTTAAAAATATTTTTTATATTCACAAAATTGTTTTAATTTAAAACTTTTTTTATAAATTTTAGCATCTAGAAAAAATATATTATATTTTTATTTAATTATTTAAAAATTTTATTAAAAATAGT